CTCCTCTCCCACCAACTCTATAAAATCAAGAAAATCAAAGTACCTACTTTATAGGGTTAAGGATCAGATGAGAAGGAACATATAAGTGCTTTGCAAACCAGAAGGTACTATATGAATATCCGCTTTTGTTATCTGTAAGGCCTTCTCCAGCTCTAATGTTCAGTAGTTTTATGATACTGCTGCATAGGAGCACTCAGTCTGTGGACATTAAGAAAAGGGGCTGAGGGTGGGAGGTGGGGGGAGAAGAGCAGGAACTGGAGGAATCCTTGACTGTAAAACCATGAAAAGACTCTAAAAACAAGTATTGTCAAAGTCCCTGGTGTTTATCTTAATGATTTGCATCTATTTCTCACTTGCTGGCCCAGAGACTATGACAAAGCTGGCCAGGATTCAGTCCAGCTTCCTCATTTACCATTATTATAATGGCCAGAGAAACTTATTTCAGCTAATAAAGCAATTTATCTCCTCAGAAGAAACTGAAAATGCATCAAACATTCCCCATTCCCTAGGAGGTTTAGAGGATCCTGGCATTTCTTAATGGCCATATGTTGATTGTTCAGGATTGAGAGACATTCTGTTTTATATGCAAAAAGGTTGCAGGAAATATGGTCGATCTGTTTATTGCCTATTAAAACCTCAGTAAAGTCTTTCCCTCCTCACAACGGTGAACTCATAAAACAAGTTGCTTTGAAGTTAGTAGCAGGAATTGAGCAGTAAGCAAGGTCATGATTCTCTTTGTTGAGTGAGGATGATATGGTGAAGAGGGCACATGTACATAGGGAAAAGAAAAAAAAAAAATCAACAAAATTCAGTTTCGTCCACTAGATGGCATCTCTCAATAACGAATCAGAAGGAGAATTTAATCATTTCAAAAACCAAATCATTTCCCTCCCCTGTCTTCTCTATTATAACACTCTCCCATCATGTTTACTTTAAAGCCAGACATCTCAAAAAACAGAAAAATAAAGAAGATAATTTTAGCTAAAAATACACCATCTGCCTGTGAAAAATCGAGCTCAATTCTGTCACATCTACAACCGAACCAGGTTAATAACCGGCCTTGGAGCAGATGGTTTCTTTTTATAAATATGCGGATCTCCCCACAGTGGCTTCTTTCCTTCAGCTGCTTCCTCAAACTGCTGGCAACACTTTACCTCGTTTCCTAGGTGATGAGTGTGTCTTACACTCAGCACAGGCATTATGCAGCTGGAGCGGATTTCTGAAGTTGCCATCTCTTGCCTGCCACTGATTCCAATCCCAACAAGGGAGACCAGGGTGGGAAGGCAACTCTGAACCTCACCACAGCAACAGATGGAGGCTAATGCGCTGTCTTACAAAGTGCCCTTTTTGCTCCAGTGATCAAATTTGCAGAGGGCTTCTCCTAACCTCTTTTGATTGTCTCCTTGACTAGGCCAAGGAAAGACTAGAGGGTCAACCTCCAGGCCTGGAGCTGGGAAAATAGAAGGATTTTATAAAGTGAATATTTAGAGGACTAGTCAGTAGACTGGACTTATTGTCAGGTCAGTTCTGAGAAAAGGATGCAGTCTCATCAGGCCTATCTTTGCATAAATGTAGACTTTGAAAAAAGAAAGTTTCCTCCTTTCTTCTATGATTGGGCCAATCTTCTTGGTACTACTAGCTGTCGATCCTATGAAACAGGGGAAACTTCCGTAACAGAAGCATGGCCAAGGAGAAAAGCAAGCCAAGAATTGGGCTCTCCAAAGTTGAAGTCAGGATGGCAGAATTAGAGAAGTTAGATAGAGGACAACTGTTGGGTCTCAGGCCTAGCTTTAATACTACTCTTCCAAATCATAAGAAGTATCAGAGTGGTTGCTGATTGAGGTGACCAACTCCCTTTGCCTAGCTAATAGTGCTCCGTAACAGATCTACTTTATCAGAAATGGAGTGAACCAAGATTCATAAAGACCTCAAAGCAAGTATCTTTTTTCATGAAAGGGAACCAGAAAGCAGACTTTTCTGTTCACAATAATGTCAGGAGTGCTGAAATTTGAAATGAGCGAGGATTGGCATGATAAACACAAAAACTGTGTGTGTGATTTTAGCAAATATATTAGGGAAAAGAGGAGGATCAAGGAAGAGATAAGAATACTCCTAAGAGTAGAGGAGACAGAATGCAGAGCTGCTCAACTTTTATTTCAATTTTATTTTCCCCACCAAAGACAAATCATCTTTGGAATACAAAGCAGGGAAATGGCCAATAAGGAAATAAGGAGAAAGTTCAGGTGCTAAGTTCAACTCAACTGGTCCAAATAAATTACATCCTAGGTGACTAAAAGGAATGGAGCACTTGATTGCTGAATCCCTGTCAGTGACATCAGGGGTAGAACAGGACAAGGACTGGAGAAGAGCAAAGGCCCCAATATTCCAGAAAAAAGAATGGAGTCTTTAACTTTGTCAGTGAACTTGATTTCATTTCTGGACAAATTCTAGAATGTAGGAATACAGGAACAGCAAGTAGGCAGCCAGAAAAGGAGGGTCACAAAGAAGGGTTAATACAGCTTCATCAAGAAGAGCCCATGCTAGACTAAGCTAATTTCCTTTTTTTTGACACACAATGGGGGTACAAGGGAGAAGGGAACAAGCATTTATTAACAAGCCTACTATGTGCTAAGCACTTTACAAATATATTTTTTAATTTAAAATTTTTTTTGTTAAATATTTCTCAATTACCTGTAAAATTTTAATAATCACTTTTCAAAATTTTGCATTCCAAACTCCTTTCCTTCCATTTTTCCCCCTGCTTGAAAAGTCAAGGAATTTGATATTGATTATACATGTGCAGTTGTGCAAAGAATACTTTCATATTAGCCGTATTGCAAAAGAAAACCAAAACCAAAAAAATAAAAGTAGAAAAATAAAAAAATGATATGCTTCTATCTGCATTCAGAGTTCATCAGTTCTCTCTCTGGAGGTGGATAACACTCTTCATCATGGGTACTTTGGAATCATCTGATCATTGTCTTGATCAGAGTGGCTAAGTCTTTCACAGCTGATCATCCTTACAATAGTCCTGTGTTACTGTGTACAATGTTCTCCTGGTTCTGCTCACTTCACTTTGCCCAAGTTTAGATAAGCACAATACAAATATTATCTTATTTGATATTCACGACAGCCCTGGGAAGTAGGTGTTACTATGATCTCCACCTTATGGTTGAAGAAACTGAGGTTGTGACTTGCTGGGGAGTCACACAGCTAGTTTAACAGGCTAGATTTTAACTCATCTTCCTGACTCCAGGACCAACACTCTATCCACTATGTCACCAGGGGGAATGTTGTACATACATTTTGCCAGGATTTTAGCAAAACATTTGATAGTCTTTCATGCTACTCATATGGAAAAGATGTGTATCAGTGATTTTATACTCAAATAGAATCCTGTGGGCTGCAAACTGACTTAGAAAACCACAAATTAACATTATCTATGCTGTATTATATCTTTATTTTAATATTGTTTACCACGTTATAAATATATCTTTATCTATAAATATATAACTATTATATAACATTTAATATAATTTATTAAACATTTCCCATTTGCATTTTCATCTGTTTGCTTGAGTTTAACACCTCCATGTACATAACAATACAATTAGGCGAACACAGAACTGGTTGAACAGCAGGATCCCAAAAACGAGTCATTATTGCTTCTCTGTCAATGACAGCAGATGGTTTACTGCAGTACTAAGTGTGCTGGCTTTGCAGCCAAAAGAGCCAACCTCAGATCCTGGCTCTACCACTTCTCATTTCTTTGACCTTGATCAAATCATGTAACCCGTCTGGGCTTGAGATAACAGTATGAGGTTGGACACAATGACCCATTTGGGCCCTATGAACAATCCTAAGAAGCTGGAAGAAGGCTGCAGAGGAGTCCTGGTTGGCCCTATGCTGCTTAACATTTTTTATAAGTGATTCCTATAAAGGTATAAATGGTAAGCATCAAATTTGCAGAAGACCTAAAGCTAGAGGAGGTGGTTAACAGACCAAGATGACAATCTGAATATGAAAATACCTAATTAGGTTGAATCTAATAAGATGAAACAAAATATTAATGCGACATTTTACACTTTGTTTTGAAAAAATCAATTCCACAAATGCAAGACGGCAGAGGCATGGCGAGGTAATTGTTTTTAAAAGATCTGGAGGTTTTAGTGAAATGCAAGAATATGGGACAACAGTGTTATGAAGCAGTCACGCAAGGTAACAGGATCTTAGGGTACATTAAAAAAGGTCTAACATCCAGTAATGACATCATAATCCCACTAAATTCAGCCTTGGTCAGATAACATCTGGAGTATTGTGTTCAATTCTGGCTGCCATATTTCAGGAAGGACATTGATAAGCTGGAGAGCAACCAGAGGAGAAAAACCAGGATGGTGAAGGGCCTCAAGGTCAAGCCCTACATGGCCTGACTAAATGAACTCGGGCTGTTTAACCTGGAGAAGAAAAGACTTGGGAATGGAGGGGAGCAGATATGATAAATGTCTTCTGCTATCAGAAGACTGTCAAGCAGAAAAGAGATTAGACTTGTTCTACTTGAACACAAAGGGTATAACAAGGAGGAATGGGTGGGAATTACAGATGGAAATTTGATGTCATTTGATGTAAAAAATAGAGCTATACTAAAATGCAACAGGCTCCTATAGGAAGGAATGGGTTCCCTCTCACTGGAGTTCTTCAAGCAAGCACTAGACGACTCTTTGTTGAAAATATTGCAGAGGGAGACTCTTTTCAGGCTGGACGACATGCCCCCTGAGGCCCCTTCCAAGCTTGTTAATTCTGTGTGTGTTTCTCTCGCTTTTGTGCCCTGCAAGATCATATTTATTCTTCATTTCTGTCTTGAAAAAATATATAAAACCATTATAATAAATTCCCAATTTCTGCAGGTGATTATACTTAAAATTATAGAATTTGATGTATTTTTGTAACTATAACGAAATAAATGTCCTCTGATTCAAATGCACACTAAAAGATCTTTATTGTTTCTTCAAAATCAAGCCAAGATGTTAAGTTTTCCCTTTACAGAGAAAAAAAATCCACTTTATACAAGTTCGTTACAAATCAGAAAAAAAAAAAAACAAAACTCAGCATCAAACATTACACAGCTCAAATTCTGACTTTAGATAATACAAATCTTTAGTGACTGCACATGGGGAGTTTGAAAGTGAACAGGAAAAATGTGGCAATGTCCAACATGATTATAAAAAACACATTTAAATGTCATCGTGGCTATGTCATGTCAGTGACACATATGTGGGAAAAAAAACAGACTACAAACTTCAAGAACACAGCCTATGATATGGTATTCTAACATGTGGAAGAGAAAGCTCATTTTGAAGGAAGGTTTCACTGAGAAATACAGGCTCCATTCCAATGTAGTTTCATCTTCAGTATTTTCCAGCTTTGACTTTTTTCTATATCATGTATGTAAATTAACCTGGGCTTTGGGTCAGCCTGAACTTTTCTTTATTAAAAAAGAAACAACCCACAAACTAAATGAACAAACTGCGGCTCTAAGTAGCTATACTCACCCACAAATCAACCATCTTCTTATCACCACAGCAGTTCTTAGCAGAAACAAACCTGAACTACGGTGGCTTCCTCAGCATGTTGCTACTTTAGCACAGTCATCACCCTGGTTTTCTATTCTTGCCCAAAGGGCCTGGGAATTTATGAAGGAATTGCAGTTACCTCTCAGCAACTACTGGAAGTTGGGGGTCTGGGGGTGGTGGTGCTAAGGGAACTACACCTACAACTTAGCAGCAGCCCAGATGGGGAAGGCTAAACTTCCCAAAAAACTTGCATCTAAGTTAAATTCACAACAACTCAAGGGAGTTTTGTTGTGTGTGTTTTCAATATAAAAGGATGATTTATACACTACAGCATAATCCTTAATTCCAGGTTCTGGTAGTATCCAGTTCATCTGGTAAACTGTTCTGGAAAGCATTACAGGATGGTCATCATTAAATAAATGAGAAAAAGGGTTTATTCAGAAAAGATTAATCTGCATTTTTCCTTTGCTATAAGGAATGCTCCTTTACTAAATGTTTTAAGTGGAGCATTGCTGAAGCTCAACACATCAATTAGCAAGTCAAAGGAACCATTTGTGAGACGTGGCTCATGATCCTGGGAAAGAAGAACTAACAAGAGTTTGCTCTGAAAATAACCACTTAAAATTAAAAAAAAAAAATTTACCTTCATTTTATAGATGAGGTAAGTGAGGCACTGAGAGGTCAAAGGACTTAGACACAAACATGAACAGCCTCTATTATATTTCTTTCTTCAGTACTGTGGGACTGCATTGAAATCAGCAGATTATTCTTCCCCCTTGCTGAGAATTTCACGGTGATTCAGATTCTTAAAGTCAGGGAGGTGTACAATGACAGGGAGAAGTAAGAAGTGAAACACATTTTCACAACTGTTTTCTGTTAAAAAACCGTGAAGGCAGAGGAGGCACCAACAGGAAACTAGTACCCAGGTGCTACAAAAAAAAAAAAATGATTGCAAAGAAGAAACCTAAAAGTAGTCCAAAAGGCAATTAAATATGATCACCTTTTTAAACAGCCTTGTGAGAGATGAAATGAATTTAGAAAAGTACAATTAATGTTTGCAGTAAGCAAACCTTCCTGTCAATTTTTTTTTTTGACAACTTCACAGTCAAAAGTATGTCTATGGGCATGACTCTGAGTAGGATCTGGAACCACCAAGTTGTTTTACAGATGATTTTGGGAACATGCTACAATACTTCCTCAGCAACTTAATATAAATTAGATAGTTTGACCCAATTTTGTTATAACTCAAGGATCAAGGATTTCTGGAGAAACTCACTCAGAGTGAGGGTGTTCCAGTACCTCAAACATAAGTAGCAGCAATTGCTAGCTATTTTTCTACACCAAAGTCATCAAAATCATCCAAATGAAAATCCCTGCATTACACAGTAAAAACGATTCACGGGAGAGGGCTAGTCTCCATACTGTACTTCTGCTCGAAGCGTTTGCGTGACATAATTTACTACCACTGATGCCAGCTTCTGCTGAAGGGCGTCATTCCCCATTACCAGGGCAGTCAGCTGCACTGCATCCGTCCAGTCTAAGTCTCTGATAATGGCAAAGGCTTCGTTAAAAAGCTTCTGTTGCTCAATAGGGGGCAGTTCCATTATGATCTGAGGAATTGGTTTAAATTGTCCACTGGTCATCCAAGCACCAAGTAGGCCACCAACTGTCCCCCCTAGAAAACAAAGAAAAATTTAATTAGTTATGATGCTGTCATAAATTATACTTAAATTTTTACTGACCAGGACAGTGATATGAGAAAATTCTATCATCATAGTTGAGTAGTTCTATTCTGCAGTCAAAGCATATTTACAACACTGTTCCTAGATTACTAGAATTTTTGGGCAGGTTTATGTAGTCAAACTCAACTTAATCTTCAAGCACACTGTTTTAGCTGGTGCTCTCAATTTAGAGATGCAAAATGGTACATACACTATCTCTACTGGAGTCAGACCGTACAAAGAGCCATAATTACACTAACCAAAATTGTGTGTGTGTGTGTGTGTGTGTGTGTGTGTGTGTGTGTGTGTGTGT